TAAATAACAATGTGATGAGCCCTTCATATCAATTCCTTTCATAGCAAAAGCGCTCCTAACAATTTCTGTAAATTTGGCAGTTTAACGCTACGCGTACCGCCTTGACCGGACTGTGCGGTATCTGTGCAGTTCTGTGTGTAGAGAGGTCGGGCCGTATTCATTATTTCTTGGGGGCCGTGCTTAAATTGCTCTAATTATACGTACGCGTGTAATGCGCAAGTTTATTGTGACGGCACTAAACCCATCCCACTCATTGTTCCCCTATTTTCATAATGGTACTGACCCAATGAAATGGCCGATGCTGCTTCATATTTAATTTTTTAGATTTCTCAATCTCAGATATAGTCTATACATTTTTTTTTGTACAGTAAATGATCCCAAATCTCAATGGTATATGAAGTGATAATGTCATGAAGAGCATCACATATTTACATACTTTACTAAAATTAGCTTAATTTAATTGCTAGAATCAAACTCTTCGAAGAAAAGATCTAAAACAAAGACAAAGTCAAGAACACCAATTCGCTCTTTCTCCGTCCACATCTACAGTAGATTTGATATATACATACTACGTTGGGCTGGTACGCGCTGCGCTGCGTGTGTACATGTACTGTACTTATGCATGTTCAGTTATATGTGTATGCATAGCATGCATTACGTACATGTATGCATACACGGCTAGCTGGCACAAAACCCTGGGTCGGGCTTTTAAAATGGGACATGAAGCATGATTTGACATGAAAATTGACGGGGCTAAAAATGATTAAATCAAAATGATCTTTATATGTATGAAAAGCTTACGTATCATATAACATTGTCTGGGATTGAGGATTTACAAATTTGACACAAAACGCGTTGCTGCAAAGTTGAAGATTGGTATATTGAAAGGCAATCGAGCACAGTGCGACCGATCAATGGACATTATGTATGAGAAAGTAAAAAAGTTAAATGGATTGTAAAGTTTAACGTCAAAATGACGGAGGTTTTTTTTCAAGTAAGGGCATGGTTTTACATGGAATGTAAAGGAAATGTTTCCTTCTTCTCATATCTCGATTGAGGATATTATACTCCATTTCGATTTTTAATGGTAAAGAAAAGTGTAAAAAGATGTCGAGAATTTTACAATATGTCATGTAATATAAAATGCGCGCGGGTCGGTTGATCTCCCAAAAGGAGCGCGAAGGAATTGATATGTCTTTTGTGTGTCTGACATAACTCCTGTTGAATAACACTCATTCAACGCTTCAACCACCAATGTTTTTACCTGTGGCCAAAACACCTGATAGAATTCAATAGAGATTCTCTCTGATCCCGGTGTCTTATTTTTCTGCATTGCAAATACTGCACGTTTACATTCCTCTTCAGTAATTAATCCATCACACTATTCTTTGTTTTCGTTAGATAATTTATTGATGTTTTGAAAACCAATATAATTGCTCATATTCTTGGTTTCATGCTTTTCTTCTTTATACAAATTTGAATAGTACTTTACAACCTCTTCCATAATCTCTTCATTTTTGCTGACGATTCGACTATCATTTCCACGTTTTAATTGTGAAATTTCCTTTTTCTTTGCCTTACTCTTTTCTAAACCAAAAAAATACTTCGTACTTTTCTCTCCTTCTTCCATCCACCTAATACGAGCTCTGATTCCAGCTCCTCTCGATTCATGTCTATAAATCTTCTCTAACTTCTCCTTCATGTCGGTGTACTCTTTTTCTATTTCTTTATCAGGTACACTGACATCAATTTGTTTTTCAAGTTCACATAATATGAAAATTTATCATTTTTCCTATCGAGTGCTTTTGTTCTACAGAATCTTTCTAAATAGTTGAAATTAGTTGAACCCCCCCCCCCCCGCCACACAAAATAAAAAAATAATAGAACTTTCTTGATAAAAAGGGTTGCTCGACAATAAGCGAGTTCGTAATTGTACACCAAATTCTCAACTTCAATCCCAGACCCAACCTTTTATCCAACCCTTTATCCAACCCTAACCTCGAATCCAATTGCGACTCTAACCATAACCATATCCCTTTGGTGAAATTATGCCCAGTGTCATTGTCACAGGAGCAAAGGTCAGGTCGGGTCAGGTCAGGTCAGGTCAGCACATGTGAGGTCACCCAACTTTATGGACAAAGTAATGTACATGCAAGTGAGAAACCAAAAGTAAATAAAAGAAATATGTTACTATTAAAGCCCCACTGCACTAGCTACTTGCTCCCTCTATATATAGAAAACAATGCCTAATCGGTGACCATTGGTCCCCCATGATCCTCTTTTTCTTATGTTAATTGAGAACTGAGTTGATGAGATAACCACCTGCAGTGACCACGCTGGGTGGTCTTATCCTTCCTGGCCAAACTAGTGCAGACGGGCTTTAAAACAAGAAGATTTTGAAATCCACTCCTTTTCCAAACATATTAGGAGTCATAAGTATTCATGTACGTGAGTTAGATTAGCTTTTCCATAGCATTGAAGGGGTTAAATTCTTACAATGCAAGCAGAGTCAATGTACACTTGTAGGTAGCTGACTTTGAACCCTAAGAAAGGCCATACAACCTTTCCTGAATAAAGGCCATTGTTAATCAAATAGCAGGGACGGCTTTCGGTATAATATCTGTTTGTAGTGGGTGGGGCCTGGGTTGTTTGAGGAGGTGTGGCTTAGACCTCTTTCCTAGAAGGAATGCACGGGGGTGTGGCCTATTTTGGATTATTGAGGTGCATTGTGATAGCACCTTTGTGGGGGTCGATCAACCTTTCTTAACAACCTCGAGGAGGGTGACGTTGTAGCGAAAAGGACGAGTGCCCCTTCTAAATCGGACTGTGGCTTTAGAATACCGGTATTGACATATATATTTCGCAATGAAAATATAAAGTTCTATTTTTATGTATGGTTGTGTGTCATTCCCGACGAAAGACTACAGACTGTACTAAGCAATAGAGGCAGTCCCATAGCGCATGCGCATTAAGTGATAATGAATATGAGATTTTTTTTTTTCTTTACCTGTATGTGAACTCTTTTAGATTATCCGCAAGCGTTGTGTTGTTGTCAGTGTACATTTCCTCAATCTACATTTCTTAGGGTTGCACAACCTTTTCCGATAAAGTTTGTAGACCCATTTTCGGTTGCAGAAAGGTCTTGGCTCTCGTGCATAAATGTGTATGACTGACCGACTTGTCTGGGCCGGCTAGAGAGATAATTTTATGAATGAACACGCCAGACGTAGTCGCGTAGGCTTACTATGCAGGCAACGTTCACGCAAACACGTAGCGCAAGAGAGGGGCGGTATCATTTAAGGTTGTACTGCTGTTACATGTATGTGAAAGATCGTTACTTGTTGATCATTATGATATAATCCCTCACTGGACATGCGGTTGTTTTTGTAAAATCTAGTTTCTTCCTACTCTCAATCTGCCTGTACTTTTGCATGCGCAGTATACAGGGTACATGTAAATGTGGATCTATCATGGTGTATTCCACAGTTACATGATGCGGAATATAAGAGTGAAATATGATGCTCTTAATAATAATAATAATTATAAAAACGGTGCTTATAAAGCACTTTCCCTCCGAAGTCTCTAGTCATTAGCCATGATTCTACATGTTCAAGTACTTATATTATGCACATATCCGTGCAAGGGGTAGTTTGGGAAATCACCGGATTGCAAATGAAGGGCAAATTTATCCTGTTGCCATGTGGATATTAAAGGTCTGAATATTTGAAGGAGCTTAAATTTCAAACGAACCTTCACACACATTTCATATTGCCATGGGGATTTAAAGGTCTGAACATTTGAAGAAGCTGAAATTTCAAATGAACCTTCACATACATTTCCTACTGCTTAGAAATTTATAGTAGGAAAGGAGAATGGTAGGAAATTACAAATAAATATGCAAGCTTACAGGAAGCTTATACCGCACATTTGAAAAGGTCGTTCGTGTTTTTACCTCTTTCAGAAAAGGCAGACAACAGGTCTTTTATGCAAGAAAAAAGTTGCGCAACCTTTTCCGTGAAATAGGCAGACATATTTTATGAACTGAGAAAAGGTCTTACAGCCTTTTTTGGAATGGGAAATTACCGGTAGCTAAATAGGTGTGCGCAGTTAGGACTTTGGAGCAGTAGAGATGTGTTGAAAATCTAACATGTTTTGCTGTTAGCGCCCTTTTTCATGTAATGCTGCGTATTTCCAGTCTGCGGTGCTTGCCCCGAAAGGGTGACTGATCGGTAAAGAAAAGAAACGAATGGATCGTTGCATTGGACTTTGGCCGAGACTTTTAAAGTGCACCCTCTGTGGGCCTATGCATGTACAGTGTGCATACTGCATTGAATTACGATGTACGTCTGTGTTAAATCCTGGTATTATACACTTCCATTTCCTTACCATAATAATAATAATAGTGGGTTCTTGTATAGCGCTCATGTCAGTCAGATTTGACCCTCCTGGCGCTCCCGATTATTACCCTGGCTTTAGCACGGCTGCCATACGGCGCTCTAGCATTTCAAGGAATAAATTCCTACCATCAGAAGGAAGAAAGTTCAAATGAGTAGCAAGATTATTTTTTTTAAAGATTTTTTAAAATTATTATTTTGTTGTTGAATTGTTGGCCTGTTTTCCTTGCATAATTACAGTAATGATCACAGATAACCAAAGAAAATAATTAAACCAAAACTATATTTACAAATGTTTTAACTGTGGAAAATCGATATCATTGTAACTTTGTCGGAGCAGACAAGTGGTATTAATGGTTCAAGGGACACAGAATCGTATTGCCTGTTTGGAGCCGAAAGGGCATTAAGTTCTCATAAATATTACTCAGAATTAAATCCCTTCTGGCTCCTAAAAGACGGAAAAAGTATTGAAATTATCCCTTGAGTTGTTATCTTGAAAGTCTTTGTTCTTTGATCTTTTTTTTATTTATTTTTTTATTGAAAAATATCTTTTTGCCAACATTAAGGAATTCGTAAACAATTCCTCTTCTATTTCAACCACTTCAGATAAAGCTACAAAGGTACATGACAGCGGGGCTCAAGAAGTCACTTCCCAAGAGACCCCAGAGCAGTGCCCCACCGAAGAAGGTACCAAAGATGAAACTCCCCTTGATACCGAATCAAGGCTACCCGTACCAGCTAAAGATGCGGATGAGACTCGTTGTCATGGCGATGGGAGGAGTGATGAGAGGATGGACGTCGGCGCTGAAGGGCAGGAGAAGAACAGCCGCGGCTACAGAAAGGATCGCAGGAAACAGAAGAGAGCCCCTAATAATAGGGGAAAGGGGGCAGAGAAACGGACGGAGCAGAATAAAGCGACTTTACTGGAGATGGTAAGATATTATTATTTTATTTTTTTACCCCCTGACATGGTATAGCCGTGGTACTTTTCTTTTGCTTTAGTTAGTTTATATTGGTTGATGCGTGGCAGTTTCCCATTTGCTCATCGTTTCTGTAGACTGTGAATTGAAGATGACCCAACCTCCATGTAGTGTTAAGTTGGTCATCTGCCCTTACTTCATGTTAAATTGCTCACTTTCTGCTCTCCCTCTGTCTCTCTCTCTCTCTCTCTCTCTCTTTATCTTTCTCTCTTTCTCTCTCTCCTTCTCTCCTTCTCTCTTTTCCCTTCTCTCTTTCTCCCCCCTCTCTCTCCTTCTGTCTCTCTCTCTCTTTTTTTCTCTCTCTCTCTTTCTCTCTCTTTCTTTGTTTCTCTCCCCCTTATCTCTCTCCATACAAACAGCTAACAACTAAACTATGTCATACCCCTTGTAAATTTGATGCTTAATGTGTTTTTTTCATTACTCAAGAATGAAAGGTCGACTGGTTGAATTAGGGCTTTGGTTGAACGCTTTTAGATGTCAGCTTAATATGTTACGTTCTCAAGATACTTAAATCGAGACACATCAACCTTTCACATACTTACAAGATTACAAAACTTGGTAAGGGTATGAATAATGTTGTTGTTATTAGCTGTACATGTCTCAGACGTAGACTTTTGTGATCAGCTTGTACCACATTGCATTCTCTGTCTCTCTGTCTCTTCTCTTCTACTCCTAAATCCTAAGTCATTTCAAGTCTACCCCTTTATTGCAAAAGGAAACAAAGAGGAAGAGGAAGAAGAAGAAAACAAATGAATAGAAATAACAATAAACAATAAAAAGATTAACATAAGATTGAAAATTTGAAGAAAATTATTTGAGAGAGTATAAGAATCATGATGTGAAAATGCAGTTGTATTTGCCAAATGTATCGTTGATATTTTGCGTGCAGTGATTCAACAGGCATTGTCGTGTACACCTAAGGGCAAAAGAAAAATCAACTACTAAATAAAATTAATTTATGTGATTGATATTTATCTTAGGGTTATGCGCTTAGTTAAATCTTTCATTGTGGTGAATTCAAAAGGTCAATTAGTATCTTTCTGTTATTGAACTGTTCTGTAATGAAATAAGTTTTCATTACGGGCAACCACTAGCCAACCAGACATACTTTTCCTGGTCTGCAGGCACAGGTACTAAAATGACACTTGAACACATTTCCATAAAGCCTTGGGCTTAGCCTAACTTTTACTTTCATATACATTTACATATGTATGTAAGTTACATTTATCGTCGGGTTATGTACTCTATCTCTCTTTCTCTTTCTCTCTCTTTCTCTCTCTCTCTCTCTCTTTGATCTCTTTTTTATCTCTCTTTCTCTCTTTCTCTCTCTCTTTCAATCTCCTCTCTCTCTCTCTCTCTCTCTATCTCTCTCTATCTCTCCCTTTCTCTCTCTCTCTCTCTTTCAATCTCTCTCTCTCTCTCTCTCTCTCTCTCTCTCTTTTTTCTTCTTTTATTGAGTGCCATAGACTTTACAGTTTGTATAGTCTCATAGTTCAGACCTCCTGTTTTGCAACATGACATGCACGGGGTACGTGTCTGCAAACTGGGTGGGTTCACGTGCCCTTTGAACACGGTGGAAACTCACACCTGCCAACCAATCATACCTATTTCAGAGAAACGATTCCCCGTTTCGGGCCTCAAAGTCAAATTGACAGACCCTAGATCCTTTCTGTCATGAAAAGGTCTTTGTGTCAATAGCATACAATATACAAGTTCAAAGAAAAGGTCAACTGGTCTTTGGAATGCCCTTTAGTTGACATTGAGCTACCTATTGTTGTTTGAAAAACAAAAGAAATAAATAAATAAAATATCTTCTATAAATTATGACATGAATTGACTTTAAAAGATCGAGCCATGTGCTGTGATGTTACACTTTTTTTTAAAACAACGTTTTTCAGTTTATCTGTATTTCCTCGATGATGTAAAGTAGTTCATGTGAATAGTCGTAGCATCAGGTGATCTTGCATTGGACTGAATGACAGATTTATGTGAGAAGGTTGAATTTTTGGAAGTAAAAAGTGCGGGCGGTCTGAAAGCAGGGAAAAAAATACATGGGGGCTCGGGGCAAATAAGCCCCCGTAATGCCAAAAAGAGCCCCCGGAAAGTCATAAAAGAACCCCCCAAAACTGCATAGAGTTCAATGCAAAACAAAATAAAGAGTGTTATTTTCATGCTATCAAGCTTGAAAAGTAGCCCCCAAAATTTCGAAAGTATTTTTTTCCCTGTCTGAAAGAGTAGCAATTATCAAAACATGCCTTTTCTCTCAATGTAGAGGCCTGTATGTGTGTACTGTAGGTAATAATGTCCAGAGTCCTTTGAAAGTCAGGCCTGATAAAAACCGATTTAAATCTTTAAAAAAAAATAAAAAAAAAAATCAGATTTTTTTTAACCAGACTTTTTTTTTCTTCCCTAATTTATCCAGATTTTCCCAATTTTCCTCTTATTTTCTCTATTCTTCCCTATTTTGCCCTATTTTTTCCCCAATTTTCTTACTCGAAAGGCGAGAATGTTGTTAGATGCCATTTTTTCCCCGCGAATCCTCTTCTTTTTTTTACTCAAGGGGGGCGTGGTAGAGGGGAAAACAAAAAACCTATTTTTTTTTAGTGCTCACTATCACCCCTGGAAAGTGCATAGACATAGTGGGTAGAGACAATATAATGATAATGTGATATGCTCTAAACAATTAAAAAAATTATAACTATTATTATTGTACTTTGGATGTGGACGTGTAATGGCATGCCTTATTAAATTTTGCACCCCAAAGGCCTTGTTTACACATACAACGGCATTCCACCTGATACGAAACCTATGAACTTTTCAGTGGGAAGAAATGCCAAAAGTTGTGTACGTGCATTATCTTGCCATTTCAACTCATTGAAGATTTTTTTTCCCCACTCTTTTTATATCTATTCTACAGCTACTAGCACCTGAAATCCGACGAGAGAGGAACATCATACTTCAATGTGTGAGGCACGTCGTTAAGAAGAACTTCTTCCAAGGGTCTAAGCCCTGACCACAAATGGCCCCTATGGAACTGTACCGACCAGTCCAGTGTAACCAGGGCCTTCAGTCGTCAACAAGAGTCCAGTGAGTGTTTTCGTTGGAACTGTACTGACGAGTCTTGCATCACAATGGCCTTCATCCATCTACATGTATAATATTCCGGCATCTTGATGTGTCTCTAAGGGAACTTACCGACCAGTGCTGTGTAACCAGGGCCTCCAGAAGTCGACAATAATCCAGAACTTCCCAGCGTCTCTTCAAATGAAACCGTACTGACCAGTGTTGTGAAACCAGGGCCTTCGGCTCTCCACAAGACTCCAGAACTTTGAGCATCCCTTCAAATGGAACCGTACTGACCAGTGCTGTAAAACCAGGGTCTCCAGTTGTCTACAAGATTCCAGAACTCCACAGTGTCTCTTCAAATGAAACCGTACTGACCAGTGTTGTGAAACCAGGGCCTTCAGCTCTCCACAAGACTCCAGAACTTTGAGCGTCCCTTCAAATGGAACCGTACTGACCAGTGCTGTAAAACCAGGGTCTCCAGTTGTCTACAAGATTCCAGAACTCCACAGTGTCTCTTCAAATGAAACCGGTACTGACCAGTGTTGTGAAACCAGGGCCTTCAGCTCTCCACAAGACTCCAGAACTTCGAGCGTCCCTTCAAATGAAACCGTACCGACCAGTGTGTTGCGTTACCAGGGCCTACAAGTCTCTGCAAGACTAGAGCACCTTCAAGTGTCAGATGAAACCGTACTGACCAGTGTTGTGTAACCCGGGCCTACAGCTCTCCACAAGACTCCAGCACCTTCAAGACTCTAGCGCTTTCAAGTGTCAGATGGAAGTGTACCGACCAGTCTCATGGCACCTTGAGATTGATCTGCAAGCTTCCTCCTCTGCAGTCTACCTTGGAACGTTGCATTTGCATCTTAACCCGTTGACTACTGAATTCTCTATTTCCCATAAGCATAATACAGGGACAGCTCTGTTCCAGTAGGCAATAGTTTAACGTGATTTATAGCTGTTAAAGCTTATCTGCCGTAGTTTACAGGAGGGATTAGACTGCCCTGCAAGGTCACTGGACAGGTGGTTATCTCATCAACTCAGCTCTCAGTTAACATAAGAAAAAGAGGATCATGGGGGACCAATGGTCACCAATTAGGCATTGTTTGTTATATAGAGGGCGCAAGTAGCTACCAGTAGTGCAGTGGGCCTTTAACCCGTTGACTACTGAATTCTCTATTTCCCATAGGCATAATGCAGGGACAGCTCTGTTCCAGTAGGCAATAGTTTAACGTGATTTATAGCTGTTAAGAAACATCTTGGGAAGAAGGAAGGTGGTTGGATTCTGTCATTATTACTTTAATCTGATTGTTTTACAGCTAATATATTTTAATGCTATTATCATTCCATGATTGTTAGAATTTACTGGGCAAAATTTAATAGGCTACTTCCCAAAAGACCGACAACCCACGAGACCGACACCTACAGCCTTGCTAGCCCTTGTAACAACTTTTCTTGGGGGGGGGGGGGGGGGTCATTAGATTGACAACCTATGAGCCCACAGCCCACTAGACCAGCCTTTTTTATCTTCCCCTTTTCTTTGTTTATTCGGGCTCATGTGCTGATGGTCTATTGGACATTTCTGATCTATATTATCTTAACTATTGCTTTGTTTTGTCATATATGTTTTTAAAGGGAAAGTCCACCCCAAAAATAAGTTTGTTTCGATAGAGGCAGAATAATAAGAAAATCAGGTGAGTGAAAGTTTGAGCAAATTCTGAATGAAAATAAGAAAGTTATGAATTATTGAAGTTGTGATCAATCAAACACAAATTGGCAACTCTATGACGTATCATGCGAGCTCAACTTCCATTTGCTCAGTACTAAAAAAATCTAAAATTTTCATTTTCCCTCAAGAAAAATTTCAACCATACATGCACCCTAAATATAATAATTGCAAATATGTTTCTATACTCCCCCTGCAAGGAACAAATATATATTCCGTCATCAATAACGAAGAAAACATGATTTTATGGAATATTATGCACAAAGCAAATGAAGGAGAGCTCGTATAATAAGTCACAGAGTTGCCAATTTGTATTTGATTGATCACAACTTCAATAATTCATAACTTTCTTATTTTCATTCAGAATTTGCTCAAACTTTCACTCACCTGATTTTCTTATTATTCTGCCTCTATCGAAACAAACTTATTTTGGGGGTGGACTTTCCCTTTAAAGCTAGCTGTCTGTGAATGTTGCTCATTTGGGATGTATGTGTACCTGGATAACTCCATTGTTATCAAGGTTTAACTACTTCTGTGAAACTGAATCAAAATCCAAACAGATCAAAACGAAAGCAGCATACCTGTTGTTCAGTAAAGAATGAAGAGAAATGCCTCCTATTCATATAGTACATTCACAATAGCCCCTCTTTCAGACTTTCCAAATTTATTGTATTGCTATATGATTATTACCTGTTCTCTAGTTTGAATGTCAAAATATAGTTGAGCATCGTTTCAATTGGAAACTTGATAGAGAATCAGGCTCATTCTCACCAGAACGTTGTCTCGTTTGAAAACCATAACTGGGCGGGGCTTATCGTGAGCATGCACTGATGATTGGTCAGTTGTCATGTCAACTGACCCCTTGAAAACCTGGTTTCTTGAAACGATGTTCTTATCTAGAGTTTAGGTCCCTTTGGCCTAACGGTGAAACTTTATACGAGTTATGTCTAAATTTGTCTCCAGTCTGAAAGGGGCTATGAGCGATTGTTGGTGTTGACATTAGCAAGAAGTGCTTCAAAGAAATGGCTATGACAATGCTGCTTAATACATGTATTTCTTCAAATCTGATATATGCCCATTTTTTATGAAATGCCAATGTTGAGTACAGCCCATTTTGGTTTCCTTTCGTTCATTTGGACATGTATCAAATGGTAACAGTGTTATTGGGACTATTGCAGGCACCAAACAAAATGCTTTACATTTTTTTTTTTTTTAGTTGTGCACATTTTATATTAATAACACTACCTTTTAATACAGGGTGTCCTTAAAAAAAAAAGGATACCCCAGTTTACAGGTAAATAACTTGATAATTTGAATAATTCCTTGGTTAGTTTATATATGATTGGGAAGCTCAATTTCTGCTCTTGCTAACGACACCAAAGTCATGGTCAAGAGGCCAAGCATGGCTAATTTCAGACAGCCTGAAGAGGCAGTGTCAGAAATGTACTTGTCCAAAATAAGTGGATGGCTGTTAAGTTTGGGTCATTATGGTTTTCAAATGATATTAATTGATGTGGAATTCATCATTGTTATACAAACATATCATTGAAAAGCTCAGCTTCTCTTCCATATGAGACCATGGAAGGATCATGCATGCTCTGTCTTCTATCATGATTATGGTGCCATTTGAAGATGTGATTATGAGCTTTCAAATGATGTTTATATCCAATATCATACAATGCCATATCTTTTTCTTTCCTTAAAAAAAGCATAATGAATCAAAGGTAGCAGCCATTTGCTTATTTTGGACTGTCAGGTTTTTCGACTCAAATTGGTCATGAGTGATGATCAGTTTCGGTGCCATATGAAATTTAAAAAGATGCGCTTTCCAACAATATAAAAATTATTGAAAACAAATTATTTAGAATTCTTGAGTAATTCAACAACAAACATGGGTTTACCTTTTTTTTTAGAGGGACACCTCTGTATAATAAAAGATTAGGATTAATGTAAATTGGATTCAAAATTTTGGCAAAGCAACTCTCCCTATGTGGGATAAGGTAGTGTGTTGTAAAACATCAAGATTTATCCTTCCCTGTCTTTCTTTGTGTGTCATTTAGTCAAAATTTGTTTGAAAGAATCGATCTCAAAATATAATTGCAGTCTCCAACTTTCACTATGAATTTACTTTATTGGATTCTTTGAGCATTTTTCTATCAATTATTTTAATGTCAGGGTAAATTGAATATTTGACATGTTTGATTTCAATTTGCTATTCAAATAATGATTTTTATGAAATGAAGCAATTTCGTTTTGAGTGATTCAGAAGATTCTAACCCTGTTAATCATTACTACCGTAATTCAAAAGAACTTTTAATCTCTTTATTTTCCTGTCAGACCAAAGAATTCATGTCATGGTCCAAGTTGAATAACGTCTATTTCAATCGACATTTCAAGTTTTGTCGAGATCAGCAAAATTGAACTATCATTACAATTATGTTCAAGAAGTACTTTATATACTACGAAGAGTTAAAGGTAAAGACCAGTTATGGTCGTGCGATAGCATTGTGAAAGAAACGTTGTGGAATCGATCAGAAAAGGTTGATCATCTAGCATCTAGCATCTGCAAGGTTCTGGAATCATCAAATAGATAAGAAATTTGGCCCATTCTGCGTAAAGTTACAAGCACTATACACAGAAAGACGTATATGGGACTACCCTATATCTCTCACAGACCATGAGAGAAACAAATTTACCAAATATGTGAATTAGTAGGCGGTTTCCCGGCAAATTTTTTATCATCATGTATTAGTCAAAACATATTCTTTCACATGATTGGTAATGAGAGCTTCCATTTCATTTTTTGAAATTGGGGCATTTCCAATACTGGTCTTTACCTTTAACCCTTACTGTACTGGGCTATTTTGAGCACTCTCTGACTGGGGGGGGGGGGGGGGGGCTTCGGAGGCCCCCCCCCCCCTATGATCTCGGCCGTCAAAATGTCCGATTTGCATGATTGTAGATATTTATGTAAGGAACAAGATGGTATAATTAGTTTTTTCCTAATATGCAAATTTTTGTCGTTATAGCCTAATTAATTATGCAAAATGCTAATTTTATGCATTTTACAGAAAACTCTACATATTTGTCCGTAGACTTGTGAAGAATCTTGAAAATGTATTGAATAAATGTTTCCTTCATCTCAAATTCATGAGGTTTATTTATTTTTATGATATTTGAAAATGCATAGGTTAATTTGCATAAATTATGAATACGCAAATTACGCATTCATGAATATCTAATCTGGTAATATACAGGGAACTAGAATCATTACAAAAATTGTCAGACTCCACTTTTGTTATGTTGAAACTCATTATTCATATGAAACTTCTTTTCTAACACAAAAAATAGTTATTTGATGTAATTAATAATGATAATTTATGCAAATTTGATGCGATTTTCAACTTTTTATTTTCTTATGTATTTCATTGTTTTTTATTTGTTATTATATCTATTGTTTTATTTCTAATGTATTCTTTTGTTCTGAAATACATCAAGTTACTTTGAGAAACATATAAAAGCAATTTGATATCAATTCATATCTTCACATTTCTGCTTGTACATGAATGTATGCAATTATAGCACTTTTTTGATGACATGCGCATACTAATTGTTATGTAACACCTTACAGGTATATCCCATTTCGACGAAAATGGTATCAAAATGTGCGTAAGACTTGAAGGAAAAAAGTCATGAAACAACAATTCAAAATTCCGAGCGGTTGCGGCGCGATCTCCAAAAATGTTGAGGGGGGGGGGGGGGCCTCCCAGGCCCCCCCCCCCCCCCCCCCAGTACAGTAAGGGTTAAGATTGATCCAAATCAATCGCAAGTCCTCCAATCAATCGCAATTTTGCAATCTTCTATCTCTAATGTACATATTTGTGATTGATATCAACTCTTTGCAGGACAGGACCCTGGTGCCATAAATATCGACGGTATCTATTGACCTACATAATATTTTTTAGTAACAGATATGATTATTAAAAAGTCAAATGATATCTTTAAAAGTCTTCTGGAATTGATTTTGTTACGTGTATCAGTCTGAATGCTCCCTTTTGAAATAATATGTACTTTTATTGCGACACGTCATTATTCAGAGTTGATGTAAGTCGAAGTTGAAATAATAACCCTGATGAACATTTGTCAGGGGCCCGTTGCAAAAAACTTTCCATTGATGGTAACTTTGCCATCAATGGTAACTAGCATGGAAACCTTGATTTCGTTGGCTGTTTAGCCTGGTTACTTTCAATGTTAAGTTTTATGCAACAGGGGCCAGACCATGACGAAATGGACTCTAGAGAATTTTACCCAAAGTCAATTTTGGTACCTGATTGTATTGAGTTCAGAAATCATTTCTGATGGGCACATTACCAAAGGTGAAGCTTGAGGCTCTTGAAGTTGCCTTAGATTGATTATCCCAAAGTCATTGCTAACATGTTCTGAAATACGGTTGCACCAGAGCAGATGTATGACTCGATTCAATTCAATTCAATTCATATTTATTTAATTTCCAACAGAAAGATAAACAAAGGTATTACATATATATTATTACAGAAAGTATGAACAAAATGCATGTACATAATTCAGTTTGTCTTGGTAACTATACAAATACACTTTACACATAGTGAAATGATTACAAGAAATTCTTAATTTATGAGGAAATGGGGGGGGGGGGGGTCACTAAAAATCAGAGCTTGTAGTTTGTGGATCCCCCAGACAAGGTCCCACCTGAAAGTTTACTAAAGGATTAGAAGAGACAGAAATAAAGAATAAGAAGTAGAAGATGAAATAAATTTAGGAGGAGACGAAGAGTATGAAGAAGAAGAAGGAGGAGGATAGGAAAGTAAGAAGAATAAGAAGAAAAGAAAGAAGGAGAGAAAGGGGAGAAGAAGAATGAGAAAGACAAAAAAGAAGAAGAGGAGGAGGAGAAAGATCAAGAAAGAAGTAGAAGGAGGAGGAGAAAGAGCAAATATGAAGAAATGAAGAGAGAGAGAGAGAGAGAGATTAAAGGTAATACAAAGTTTTGGGAAATTTCGAAAATTGGGTGGATAGTGAATCTTTACAATTTTGATATATTTTGATGCCCCTGTGCATGTATTATAAGCACTGCAAAAATTAGCCCCTAAAACATTTCTGTTTTCGAGAAAAATTGAAAATAAAAATTTACCGGTGCTCCCGGTAAATTTTGATAAATTTCAAATAGCGCCTATGGCCGTGCAATGGTAGTTGCGACCATGAAAATCTCAGAATATGTAGTTGTGATATATAATTTCCAAACGGGAATAGCTAATCGGTCGATTTTAGTCAAGAAACATTGTTTCATAGCTAAATTAATATCTTGACCTTGAGAGGGAGCTATACAACATAAAGAGTTTATTATTTATAATTTCATAACTTTAGACTCGATTTCAACCGCGACAACGATCAATAAATATTGTTGGAACGCATATGCTTCCAATATGTTAATTTGAACCCAATTCATGACCCCATACCAAAACTTTGTAATACTTTTAAGAAATAAAGAAAAGGAAAGAGAAACTAGTCGAGGCTTAGAGCCTGATCAAATCTTATTCTCATAGCTGTGATTATCATAACAATAAGATAATGTGAACGAGTTTGGCGTACACTCAAACTTAAATCAATATTTACAGTTATTACTATATCGGTATTACTATCAATGTAATCGTCATTGATAAAAATAGAATGATAGCCGTGAACTTTTTTTATTTTTGGTTCACAGAGAGAGAGAGAGAGTGAGAGAGAAAGACTGAGGGATTACTTGACAGCATAAAACGCGGGAAATATTGCTTTTGATATCGAAAGCTGTACTAGTTTTGCAAGTATGAAATTATCCAAGGTCGCAGATATAATACCAGCACACAACTAAAATCTAAATTCATTTTACTTCTATTTGCATACAAATGTGCATAATTAAACCTCATGGTAAAAACGTACAAGTTAAAGGCCTGGCAACATTCATGTATGAATTCATCAGCGAAAGTTTCCCGGGTACACAAATTTCCAGGTGGGGCGAATAGGTGGACCATAAATATATTTTAGAAAAAAACAAGATACGAGGTCGGAGGCCCTTTTCCCCCGTGTCATATCACATGTTCTAAACAGCTGCCCATTGAGGTAGGTATAGACACAAAGAGATCATTGCAATAGGACTACAGATTTTGCTGTCGATAAAAATCACTGCCCTTTCACGTGCTTGCAATGGAATTTGACTGAAAAGAAAATGCACAAAAGGCCATTGTTGAATGTAAATTTTGAAGCTTGGCGTACGTGCACACTGGCATGTTTGCGTGTTTTTTTGTTTTTTTTGCAAAGGTATATTACGCCATCGTCTAGGTTGTTATTGTTGTTGGGTTTGTGTTGGCGCTATGCTTCGATTTTGATGATTTCTGTCAGGTTTGCGTCTTGCATTTTAGGGTTTCCGCCTCTTGTTTATCATTAAATAGGAATGCCATTGTTAGGCGTGATTAATTTAGAGCCGATTTCCGACATAAATTTTGTCCATAGTTTCTGCGGGGTCAGAAAAGAGGGGAAGGGAGTGGTTAGGGAGAGGTAAACCATCAAAAGTTTCTGTTTTGTGTGTTTTTCTTCTTCAATTTGGCGGGGAGGGGTCGCCCCCTTCATGATGCTTGTTTGATAAGGAAGAACGTGTTGATGGTAATATATACAGACTACAGCGACACTGTTGGTCCGGTGGGCCTTCTGACAATCTTCTTAAGGGTTCACTGGGCCGACAGCCCAATGGAATGAGACCGACGTTGTCCCTAATGCAGTTCCTTGTTTTGTGTGCCTCGTGGCCCATCGGTCTGCTGGACCAAATGGAGCGTTCTTCTTTGTTATAATCATTTCTGTCGGTCCCGTAGGCTGTCGGTTTACTGGAATGTTCACAGACCTACTTATCATCATGATAAACTCCACCATAAATCTACAAATCTGAAATATAATAAATTATCGAGGGACGTCTTCCGCCCAACCGTGACTTACAAAACAATTATCGCGTTATGTAAATATACGTAGGTTTGGGAGGCAAAGGCTGAATTCTACGTGAGAGTTTGAATACAATACATAGTCCTCTGCCCTCTCAGATTTACCTTTGTCATATTTTCTTCATAGCGTTGCTCAAGGACATTTTTGTATATTTTGATTTTAAAAATGCCTTAATTTGTAGAAGGTGGCGTCTAGCGCTTTATTTACCAGATGTTCCTCTTTCTTTGGGGTCTATCCGCCCTTTCATTCTAGTTCAATCCATTTCGATTTCCAATCTCATTTCAATTATATATACACATTATTATAAACTAGAATGAAGTTTATGCACATAACTCCTGTTTTTATACTGCTGCTCCACCCGTCCCATATAATAAAATAACCCTACTACTACTACTACTACTACTACCACTACTACTATTACTGCTGCTGTTACTATACGACTACTACTATTGCTACTACTGCTACTACTACTACTACTACTGCTACTACTATACTACTACGACGACAACTACTCCTCCTCCTCCTCCTCCTACTACTACTATTACTACTACTACTATACTATTGCTGCTACTAGTACTGCTACTACTACTGCTATTACTAATACTACTACTACTTCTACTACTTCTTCTACTACTACTACTACTACTACTACTACTACTACTACTACTACTACTACTACTTCGACTCTACATATTTTAACCACCTCTTCTCTCTCTCTCTCTCTCTCTCTCTCTCTCTTTCTCTCACTCTCCCAAAAGGTTTTTCAACCCGGTCTACTTCTTGAACCTTTTAAGTGCAGATAGAAGTATTGACTGATATGTCAAAGCCCACAGACGTGCCCTGTGTCTAATCATCTACCCATACTTCGCACCAACCCTGGTAAATTCTTTTCATTGCCAAAAGTTGTTGATATTTTATAGAAACGTCACAATCATGACTATATATAGAGCGATGGCATAATACACGCGTAATACATACGTGATTGATGTAATGAGGAACTATTTGTGAACGAGAAAATTACCGACGAGGCGCCATTGTAACGTATGCGGTCTCTGATTGGTCGCCCAGTACGTCGGTGTGTTCATTTTACTTCTCGGTGATTGGGCGGGTGGGTGTCAGTTCTCATGAATATTCAATACACTGTCCTTGTTGTGTCATCGAAGCAACGATTACGTTCAGTGATTGCATGTTATTACCAAAAATAGTTTTCGCCGATAGTGAAAAAGGTTTCTCAACCCCCTCTCCCTCTATACTGTGACTTATAAAGACCGTCCTTATAAACCCAACCATCTAATCTTTTCCTCACTCTTGTGATTATTTTTGCTACCCCGCCACTTAAAACAAACAAACAGCGTGCTGTGTGAGTATTTATAAGCATCTAGTGATATGAATTTTGAGAATTTGTCTGCAGAAAAACAAAATTGGACGACCTAGGCCTGGCAGATTGTAGATGAAGTAGGTGCGACCCGATTCATATTTGACAGAGCGATGGAAACCAAGGTAGGATGGCGATGATTGTATCGGGTTTTATTCTTTAAAATATTGCAATGTTGTCTCATTCGAAACAAGTTTTTCATAACTCGTAAATTACAACACATTTATTTATTTATTTCTGATATTGAGACAGGGTGACTCATTATCACCAATAATGGTGGTCTTCCATGATGCCCTATTAAACATAATGAGGTACAATAGTTTAAAACATTATAATAATCAAACAAAATCATGAACATAAACTCATAACAACAACAAAAAATAAACTAAGAACAAGTATCAACATTATTCAAAGTATTTGGTATCCTCGTAATGAATAAATGGTTTCTTTGTTTTGCGTTGCTTTGCTTTTTCGCTCAAGAAAACGTTGTTGCATATTTATAATATCTTAATTTAACATTATAGTATAGACGGTAATTAGTTTTTAAATCCGATGAAAAGTAACTATTATTAGCATAATTCGGTAAGCATTAGACTTTGAAAAAGGCAACATATACTTTTGAGAGTACATAAACAAAGTATAAAAACTACTTAGGCTTAAGAGAGACATTGGGGATACCAAAATTGTTGTATACATATTTACAACAACAACACATATTACAGGATAGTAAATTACTGGATAATATGCAAAATTATTGCATTTAATCTAGTATAGCAATTGAATATACACTCTTAAATTCAAAATTACAAATACAAATATATTTATAACTGATAATAAATTATAGGAAATCGTTCTTTTAGTTTGAAAGGCATTATGTATTCCTACATTGAGAAACCTTTCAACGATAAAAGGTTAGGAAAATCGTTTACCGCCCAATTATAATCAACCCCACAATAGGTAATCATACCATGAGATGCCAAACAAAAAATGCTGTAAAGTATTCAAATATAAAATATTCTTTCATGAATATTTGATATAATTTTTTGTGTAACATAGTAAGCAAAAATAAAATAATATGTTAGAATTTTGTCTAGTTTAAAAATATATATATTTTGACAAAATATATCGTCCCTCGAACCAGTAAACAGAAAGGTGATAGGGATTTTTTCAGTTATTACCCCAAAACCAGTAATAAAGAAGTGTCTGTATTTAGATATGAAATATTCTTATATGAATTTTTGATATAATATGTTTTACACACACCAGGAATATTCATATTTTAAATAGAAATTGAGGCTGATTAATGGAGTTTATGACAAGTAAATACTGTGATTTCGAACCGTAATAAAATGCAAATTGAATGTCAATTCATAATGCTACTTAAACACATATTTTAAAATGTATTTTCACATTCCTCTTTGTTTGCTTGTTTGTGAGTATTTCTTGTTCAAACGCTTTGTATCTAATGAAAAGGCGCTATATAAATGAAATAATAATATCATTATTATACTAAATACTAAAGATGTATACCCATACACTTTAAGCTAAACACTTTGTTTCGTATTCTACTAATCTATCCGAATCATTGGGGGAAAATGGCTTTCCACACATGTATCGGAATACGCTCTGTGGACCCGAGAACTGCAAATCTTCTGTTGCATGGTTGAGAATTACTTTATATCATCACTAACATTCTCATCAACAAATATCACCATCGTCATCATCACCATCGTCATCATCACCACCGTCATCATCACCACCGTCATCACGATTATCACCATCAGTGGTGACTCGGACCAGGGTGCCCGCACGGCTGAAGAATGTCTCGGCGCCCGTAGGAACTGTGCGGGAGCCGGACGGGCACCGGCCGAAAATTTCTGTTTTTACTCCCCGTACGGGCCCCAGAGTATTATGTGAAAGCCCCATATTCGTAACAACACTATTTAATAACAATCGTGAATATAAACTCAATACCAGTTAAAACAAAACAAAATAAAAGAGAAAATAAGTTAAATTCTTTGATATTCTCGTTGTAAATGTGGATTTTTTTCTACTTCAACACAATTCAGTAGCACCTTTGTAACATCCCATTTTATTGTTTAGACGGTGTTTCGTTGAATTACAATATCGAGTATATAATTAGCAGTGGTTATGGTTTGAAATCAAACAAATCTTCAGTATTTACTTGGCATTAAACGCAGTACTGAAGGCACTTCAAGACCAAGGAATCAATAATACATACATCAAAATCCTTAAAGACATTTATTCAGACTGCTACAACACTGTCAGAATGCACAAGGCCAGCAACAAAATCATGATAAGAAAGGGAGTTCGACAGGGAGACACCGGCTCACCAAAATTCTTCACTGCTTGCCTAGAGAGCATCTTCAAAACATTAGACTGGTCATCAAAGGGAATCAACATAAACGGGGAAAACATGAGTCACTTAAGATTTGCAGACGATATTGTCATCATATCTCACAACTTAAACGACCTTGAAATAATGCTACAAGAACTGGACGATGCAAGCCGACTTTCAGGCCTCAAAATGAACATGAAAAAGACTAAAGTCATGGCAGGATCAGCCAAAGATCCAAAACAAATCCAAGTGAACGGTACCAAAATGGAGCAAGTAGAGGAGTATATTTACCTAGGACAACGTTTCTCCCTCCAAGACAAAAATCAAGACAACGAAATAAGAAGAAGAATCAAAGCTGGATGGCGAGCCTTTGGCAGATACAGCACCATCATGAAAGGCAAACTTCCATTATGCCTGAAAAAGAAGGTATATAACCAGTGCATCATCCCAGCAATCTCATACGCTGCAGAAACATGGACGCTAACTTCAAAAATGGAAAGAAAGCTAGCAGCCTCGCAACACAACATGGAAAGAAGTATTCTAAGCATCACATACAAAGACAGAAAAACAAACAAATGGATCAGGGAACAAACAAAAGTCCAGGACATCCTTAAAACAGTGAAAAGAAGGAAATGGAATTGGGCAGGCCACATCAGCCGCAGGAAAGACAATCGCTGGAGCTCAGCAATCACTCATTGGACACCATACGAGGGAAAACGAAACAGGGGACGTCAAAGAAAAAGATGGCGAGACGAGCTGCAACAGTTCTGGGGACAGACAAATTGGCACCAACAGGCGCTGAACAGAGGCATTTGGAAACATCATGCTGAGGCCTTCATCCTGCAGTGGATTGACAACGGCTGATAAAGTAAAAAAAGTAAACTCAATTAATCAGCCTCCATTTCTATTAGGAATATGAATATTCCTCACTTATCAATAATAAAAAATAATAATAAACAAAAACAAAACGAATTAATACATGTATTTGAAACTTAAAATCCTTTGCAAGAATGGAATATGTAATAGGCCTAAGTTGTAATCTATTTGACTGTGTATTATTGTACTTGTCTATATCTAAACAATTTTTTTTTTTTTTTTTTTTTTTTTTTAAATCTGAGCTTGTAAAACTTGCAATGTAATTTAGCTTTCGGGCTGCCATTTTACAGTTGTTCTACTACTACTACTACTACTACTACTACTACTACTACTACTACTACTACTTCTAATACTACTATTACTACTACTACTACTACTACTACTACTACTACTACTACTATACTACTACTACTACTACTACTACTACTTATACTTATACTTATACTACTTCTACTACTACTACTACTACTACTACTACTATACTACTAGTCTACCACCACCACCACTACCACTACTACTACTAATATTATACTACTACTACTACTTCTACCACCACCACCACTACTACTACTACTACTACTACTACTACTACTACTACTACTTATAATTATATATTTGAGACCTTAATTGTCCCTAGAAAGCACTCGCCATCGTCCTTGTTAAGTATAATCAGGAATACGACATGCACAAATACATCCCTTCGTAGTTCAACCTGAATTTTTACAGTTATTATCCTTCAAAATAATTATGGATATGTATTTACATGCACGTACAGACGAGACAATTAAGCAAAAGTTCGTTCACGTATACAAGAGATCGATTTCGTGCGTTCTAGTTTCAATACTGTTGACCCATATACAGCTATCACACAATGTACTGTGGGCTGCAGCATACGTATAATTGTACAAATGGGTACAGTCAAAGTCCGTTTAACTTGAAAGCGTCACGTACGTATATCAAACATCGACTCGATCCGTGTGTTCGTGTTGACTATAGACCTATCACACAGAGGAGGAGATATAGATCATTGTATCAATACATATTTTTTGTTATCAAGATATAGAAATAAAAGGACATATCCATTAAGGAAAGTTCACGGCTTAAAAAATAAATAGGAGAATGCATGGGGTAAAAGATTATTTTTGCGTCATACGATATATTGATTATATAAATATATTTAATTGAAGACTTTTTTGACCGGTCAGAGTTTGTAGTAGGCCTACATGCATTGCTGTTGTTTAATAAGGACATTATAGTGATAATTGTTGGTTGTAGCAGTAGGCCTAATGGTTACTTTGTTAAAATAGATATATTGCTTAGTGAATTATTAATTTGTATAACGAAGAGCAAGGTCTGTATATAAAGGATTTAGAAAGGCGTTGACAGCGGCCTTGCGTACTTATAGTGGTGGTGGTAGTGGGCGGGGAGGGGGGGGGGGGTCGTTCGAGAGGGTCGTATAATCTCCTCCCTATATTGTCTACCTTCTTTTCTACACCTTGCCCTTTTTCTGTAACTGTCTCCCCTTCAGGTATAGGCCCCTCCCCCCCCCCTCTCTCTCTCTCCGTCTTTTAATGTGTGTGTTATTCATTGGGTTGGGGAGGGGGGGGGGGGTGTGGTGTGAAACTCATCTCTTTTGTGTCAACTCGAAAACTACAGAACCTATAGACCATTTCAAATGGATTATAAATGGGAATACAATACATCCCGAGGAACCTAGATCAATCTGGTGCCTTCCATAATTCATGGATGGCGCCACCTACAGTTCAAGTCCGAAGGTTGCAGCTTGTTTTGTCATGTCGAGTTTCGCTGGCGGAACAATATACTCCCTCCTAACAAATAAGAGATAGAGGGGATGGAACCTGGATGGTGTAGCTAGATAGATAGATAGATATATAGATAGATAAAGAGTGAGAGAGAGAGAGAGAGAGAGAGAGAGAGGACTCGATGCTTGGAAAGCTGTACAAAACGACCGCGAAAATATATTTGTTCTAATCTCTTGTATTTGTTTTGCCTTTTTCATGCAGATCGTTATCAGTTTCCATATACTTTTCTTAGAAACTAACATGGCTAGATAAACACTATTGGATACATATTCGGCATCTTTATAGTAAATAAAATCTTCCCTCCCCCCCCCTCCCATAACAAAATAGAGATATAAATTAAACCGGGTATCTTAGAAGAGTAATTATCCATGATTGCAACATTATGTACTGTTCTGAAGACTTCAAAATGGCTGATGAACTCTACGATGACTTGTGTTGAATCGAAATCAACCAAAATCCTCTTCCACCGTCCATTCTTCTTTTCCCCTCTTATTCAGGTATTACCCTTCGATGTGAATAGCTACACCTTGGGCGTGGCTTTCTGTACGTGCTTTCTCTCATGGGTGGCTGTAAAGCGATACCGAACAGAAGCTAAAGAAGAATCTCTGCACTCCTTACCTCCCGGCCCACCGAAATGGCCTCTGTTAGGAAACATACCAGGTGAGGACTCTCTTTCATGAAACTTATTATTTCAATCAAACCAGTCAATATTACCCAGTCAATCGTTCTATAATCAGTATGTCAATCAATCAATCAGTCTGTCTTTCCACCCATCAACCAATGAGTCAACCAACCAACCAACCAACCAAACAATCAATCAATTATTAAAATAATGTCAATCAGGCAATCAACCAGTCAATCACACAATAATTCAATCAATTACCCTGTCAATCAATCAACCAACCAATCAATCACTCGACCAACAAAATGAACCAATCGATCAATTAGTCAGTCAATTTATTGATCAGTCCATCAATCAATCAATCACATGATAATTCAATCAATTACCCTGTCAATCAATCAGTCAATCAACCAACCATCCAATTGATCAATCAACATCAATCATGCAATCAAAAACTCATCTTTAACAAAATGAATGAATGAATGAAAGAATCAATCAATCAATCAATCGCATGATAATTCAATCAATATTATTACCCTGTCAATCACTAGACCAACCAACCATCCAATTAATCAATCAACCTATCAATCATGCAATCAAAAACTCATCTTAAAATGAATGAATGCATGAATCAAGCAATCAATCAATCAATTATTCAATCATCTATGCTCATCCAGGCATGATGATGGCTGGAAGCAGTTCCAAGTACCTCAGTGATTTGGTGTCGGAGTATGGACCAGTCTATACCCTCTACATGGGCCCGAGACCAGTTGTGGTCCTCAATAAGTACGACATCATGAAGCAGGCTCTCATGGACGGACACCTACTCAGCGACAGGGGTGATCTTCCAGCTCTTGATGATTACTTCAAAGGAAGGGGTAGGTAGATATTTAAAGAGGAAGAAAGGTTCTCTTGAATGTGAAATATAGTTTGTGTGCTTTGTTGGCCCCAAGACCAGTTGTCGTTCTCAATAAGTACGACATCATTAAGCAGGCTCTCCTAGACGGCCACCTACTCAGAGACAGGTGTGACCTTCCAGCCCTTGATGATTACTTCAAAGGAAGGGGTAGGTAGATATTCCGAGAGGAAGAAACGTTCTCTCGAAGGACAGAGGAGTGTTTCGCAAAGACTAAGATTGACTTTAAAGACCGTCAATACTACTGGACCAGAAGGGATTAGACCACACAGCGAGGTCACTGACAGGTGGCTATCTCATTAACTCAGCTCTCAACTAACATAAGAAAAAGAGGATCATGGGGGACCAACAGGCACCGATTGGGGAAGTTTTCTATATAGAGGGAGCAAGTAGCTTCAAGTAGGACAGTGGGGCTTTATGTTGGCCTTAACTATGGCAGGCTGTTCATGCTACTGTTTGCTTTCCCCATTTACTGGCATTGGTATCTCAAGGGGCGTACAGGTCATGGCCACATATCTACAAAATTCACCTTTTGTGATAGTTTATTATTGAAGGAAAACATAATATCTAAAGATCATAATTAAGAGACCAATGGTGAGAGCAACCAGTGGCATGATTGGCCTGCCATAGTTAAGTCCAACTAAAAGTCGATCTTAGTCTTTGTGAAACACCCCCAGGTGAAATATGGTTTGTGTGCTTTGTTATTCTCCATCTTAATCCTAGCAAGCTAGTTGGAAGAATCTCTTAGTAGCGATGTCACATTTTTAACAGTTTCCGACAAAATTATGTTGGGAAGGAAAGTAGAATGTTGGCCTACTAAACAAAGACGAAAGCCAAGAACCAACCGGAAAATATTTATCAATTTATATATTTACTTTGTTTAATATTATGTTCTTTTTAATATGTTTGGGGTGAGGAAGCTAGGGGTTGAAGTACTTTTTCATGTGTACTATAAGTCGTGATACCTTTTTTTCTTAGGATAACATTTTGGTACTCTTATTATCGACAGGTATTGTAGGGTCCCACTACACAGAATACTGGAAAAACACCCGTTCTTTCGTCATCCATTCCTTACGGCAATTCGGCGTCGACCGTCAAAGCTTCGAGAGCGTCATCGCATCCCAGGCCGACATCCTGGTTGAGGACATCCGGAAACGAGGCACTTTCGACCCGTTGCTGTGTCTCCAGTCGAACGTCTGCAGCGTCATCTGCGGCGTGGTGTTCGGGAAGCAGTACAACCTCGACAATCCGAGATTCACCGATCTTCTCGAGACGGTGTACAAGGCTCTGCGAGCCATCGAGTACGCGGCGGTGAGCAGCCTCGTGCCCGGGCTGCACTACCTACCAGGATGCTCCTACCAAAAGTTTTACGCCTGCATGGACAAGCTAATGCGTTTCTTCCGCGAGGAAATCAACGCTCACGACGAGACGCTCGATCCCGATAGCCCTCGTGACGTCATTGACATGTACCTGTCGAAAATTCGGCGAGCGTCACCCGAAGACCCGACGTATGGGCTTTTCAGCAAGACAAACCTGGAATTCGTCGTCAATGATTTATTCATGGCGGGAACGGAGACGTCTGCTTCCGTTCTCTATTGGGCTATTCTCCTCATTGCTTCCAATCCCGGCATACAAGAAAGACTACAGAAGGAGGTGGATGACGTCACAACTCATTGTGACCACGTGAGCATAGCCGATGCAGCATCGATGCCGTACACGAGGGTAAGTGGAATCCGTGTACATACATGAGCATTTGGGTTTCACCTGAGTGCTCTGAAAACATAAAGCCCAGTTGTACACGTTACGTCATTTTCGTGACGTATGACTACGTCAGCGACTGACGCAGCCTTTGACGCACCATGCGAGAGTAACAATGGACAGAACAAACATTGCGTTGAATCAGCAGCGTATGCGTTAATTGCCTTTACAGTGTTGATTGACTCAGGCAGGAACGCAGTCAAAATAACGCCTCGTGTGCAGCAGGCGTTCCAGACGATTGCGCTTCTTCTCGTCCATTTCTTCAATATCTTTAATGTACTTGTATATTTAATACCAGTCAATGCAGGATTAGAGTTAAACAAACAAACAAACAAACATGTAAATCGAACAAACAGAGCTCATGGAACACGCGTAGAATAGGAGCTTACCCATTCATTTACATATTATCCCCCTCCCCCGCTTTTACCGCGTCGTATCTGAACGACCCTTGACCTTATACATTTGACGAATTATAGAATAAGCGCGGAGCAATCATTGCCACCGAGTAATGTTGGATCACCAAACTAAATACATTCCTTCTCTTTCTCGCTCCATCTTGTCGATGTAGGCGACGATCGACGAAAGCCTTCGTTACGCTAGTGTAGCCATCTCCTCGATGCGGTCGACGACTTCGACTATGACCCTCGGCAAGTACCGGTTCGAGGTTGGAACGTGGGTCATGCTGAACTACGAGTACGCGATGTTTGACCCAGACCATTGGTCCGAACCCAAGCGCTTTAAACCTGAACGATTCTTGGACGACCATGGTCAGTACTGCCCAGATGAACAGCTTATACCATTCAGTATAGGTAAGTACGCAGGCATGTGGTTTAGAGGATTTTACCGGACTATGTGATCACTGTTTGTCTACTTGACCTCTCAATCCGAGGATTGAGGGTACGAATCCCAGCCCAGGGGGGGGGGGGGGGTGTTTCACAAAGGTCCTAAGAGGAACTTATCTCTAAGTTGGACTTGAACACTATGGAGAGCCATTTTAAGCCTTAAAATAAAATATATTCAAAAGCAAAAATTCAAGTATTTTAGACATAAATTCCACATCAAGAACATGAAATCTCCTTGATAATAGAAAATATGTATGATTTGAAATTTTGAATCAACATTTTATGCCTTTTAGAATAACGTTTATAAAATATTTTAAAAGATGCTAACTGCTTTCCATAATTATAAGTCCAACTTACAAATCAACTTAGGATCTTTGTGAAACACGACCCGGGACTAATTAACGTTATTTAGCAAAACATTAATCCATATTTTGCCACTCTTCACCCATGTGCTAAATACGTATCCGCTTTGATGTGAAAGACAATGTAGTATTGTGAGCGTCTGTAAAATGGCGCCTGGCTGGAATTCTTCCCAGGGAGTGCATGATCGAAATCACTATGAATGTGCGCTGGTATTGTTCGAGAAATCTGGCTTTTCATTTGTAATTATTAATCATTTTTGTTATGATGTCGAGGAAGTTTTATTCAAATTCTAACCACTTCAAACTGTTCTTATTTTTCAAACGGTTTTCAGGAAAGCGCAACTGCATTGGAGAGAAGTTGGGACGCATGGAGTTGTTCATTTTCTTTACGAATATCATCAAGAACTTCGAGTTGGTATTCCCCGACGATGCGCCACACCCGAGCGTCGAAGCGGCAACAGGTGGCATGATGAGGGTGCCGAATAGGTACAGCATTACGTTCAAAGACAGGACGACCACAGCGGCGTAATGATTGCAGGTGGCAATACGTTTCAATAGGGATTTTTAGATTCTGCATGACGAGAACGCGGGCTGCCATTTTAAGGCAATGTGACGTCACTGCCAGTGCCTTAAAAGGACATCTCGTCGTGCAGAATCTAAGAGTCCCCAATGTGAAATGTAAAACAACGTTGGGCAGTCTTTGTTTATAATCAATATTATGGATAATGTATATTGACTTATGTATATTTTGCTTGAAATAATTTAAGAACAGCAATAATAATATTGTTTGCATGATTGCTGTGATATAGAGCCAAATTAAATTCAAGTTCAAGTTCAAGTTTATCTTTCTTTCATAATCAGGGCTCAAATTAATTTTTTGCCCACGGGGGCTCTTCCAAAAAAAAAGAGCCCCCGTGCGCCTTCTCACGGGGGCTCTTTGAGTGCTGACGGGGGATCTTATTTTAATACAAATTTCCATTGAATTGGTACCCGTGAAACTCCTTGGTATTTGATCAATATCATTTATTTAAGTCGGTATTTTCCCTCTTAGAAATTTACTTGTTACATAGCTGTTATTGACTTTTATCCCCGTGAGGACATTTTCTCCATTTCTTCCCGTTCTGCACATAATTTCCTCCTCATTATTCGGAGCAACCTTATTTACATTCTTTCTTTACTTTTAGTCTTTACCATATCCTTCCAAAATACAGGGGCGGATCAAGCTTTTTGCTAAGGGTGGGGGGCCACCCCAAATACGATGTGGAGCATCGTTCACGAGCCGCGTAGCGGCGAGGCGATTTTTGTTGTTGCTATTGTGAACCCCCGTAAGTGGTGTTTTCCTGGCATCTACTAACATGCGGATCATCGTCCACGAGCCGCGAAGCGGCGAGGCGATTTTTTGGTGCTTTTTTGAACCCCGTTAGTGATGTTTTCCTGGCATCTACTGACATCTACTAATACTGTGTAGGTCTGGACACATGATAGCATTTTTCTATGCATTTCACATTTTTCCTTGGCAGCCCAAGGGGGAGGGGGGGGGGGGTTAAACCCCCTAAACCGCCTAGATCCGCCCTTGCAACATCTTATGCCTTCTTCTTCTTCTCAATATTGATTTACTGGTCGAGTTACATTATTTGCTGGTCTTTAAGAATCACCAGATTTCAGAGGATTTAAACTTTTCACAAAACTCCCGCCCCCCCCCCCCCCCCACTCAGTGTTATTTAGGGTACGCATATGCTCGTTCCCTCTTTTTGAAAGCACCCCCTATCTGAGGACTGCCAATATTTTCGAACCCCCTTTCGCGGGCTTTTTGCGGGCTTTTCCTGCCTTGGAGACCCCCCTAAATCAGGAAAAATGCTCAGTGTACCCCCTTAAATTCGGAATAATTTCTCAGGAGTCCAAAGAGATGAGAGAAAAAAAGAAAAAACACCCCTTTTTAAAGAAATCTCCGGGTGAAAAGTCAAATACACCCCTTTTTTTACAATTCTCGGGCCGGACTTTGTTGCACGAAAAGTACCCCTTTACCGGACATTTTGGCAACACGCATGCGGTCATTCCGACCCCTGAGTGGGGGGGGGGGGGGGGGGGGGGGGGGGGCGGGGAAAAACTTCTCCATGTTTCAGTCCTTGCGCGATCGTCGATCTCCAGCTCCAGCAGATATTGGGCGTCAGCGTGCACACTGGTACTACCAGCGCAGTATAGCCACTGTGCTGACGGCCCCACCGCGAGCTTCCGTTGTTTGTATCGGTAATACTCGTAGAGATGGTAGAGAAAGCGCCATCTAAGTTCCATTTCATTGGTTTAAGGTTTGAAAATTGATACTCAATTTTGTGTTAAAGTTATATCAGAAAAGATAATCTTTATTTTATAATTCCACGGGGGCGATTTTTAATTTTGCAATCGCCCCCGTGAGCAACCTGACGGGGGCGATTATGGAGCTCACGGGGGCGAATCGCCCACCGCCCCCGTGTATTTTGAGCACATAATACACATTACAAATATAACATGAATATAACAAGTTGACAGAATATGGCGTTACAATAGAAAGATGAGGTGACCGTGGTTGAAAGCAAGGCTTGTGGAATTAAGGTCCCCCATGAGTAGATATTGAGTATGTCCTAAATGAACAAACTCGTCAGAAAAGAATACTGCATACATTAAAATGCTTTCAAACTAAACTAACTAAAGAATATAAACATAAATAAGTATCATAAAATCTACTGACTATACTAAATAATTATTTATTTTTAAATGAATTGTATAAATAAATAAATAAATAAATTAATTGTGTATTAATATATTATCTATTTTTAGATGAATTGTAAATATTTTTTTGTTAATGAATTGTGTAAATAAATTATCTATTTTTAGATGAATTGTATAAAATCCAATTACTCCAAAAATGTGAGTAAAACAAAAAAGTAATTCCTTGTTTTAAATCTTACGAATGTAGCTGATATTCAGCCGATTGATTTTCAAATCTTTTTAATACGTCGTCTCTGATTCGAATAAAGTAGAAACGAGTTAAATGTAGTAATTAAAGACAGCGTCTCGTGCAATGATACTGGATGGTGTATACAAATTAATGTCTACTAAAACATGTTTGGAGTGGGCGGTATTTTTAAAACCGTACTTAATTCTAGCATAAAATTGTTAGTTTGAATCCAAAGACTTATGGAACGCTAAGTGCAAACCTCCTTCTCTCGTATTTTTTAAAGCCATAATCTGGGTTTTTTATGTCACTAAATGCACAAACAAATATCATGTCGATATGAAATTAATTTTAAATTTTCATTGTCATCACTGGGTTTCATTCGTTTATTCATTTTACCTGAAATAATCTGGCGCAGTAGAGTATATTTGTATAGTAGCTGTGCCATTTAATTGATCTAATTATCATCAGTATTATTAACATTATTATTATCATTATTATTATTATTATTATTATTATTATCATCATCATCACAATTATCATTATCATTTTGTTATAAAATTACATAAATTTGTACAGAATAGAGTCTAACACACAATTTGCGCTCCATAATTCAATGGGCAAATTTCAACCTGGTAGATCGTCGACTCGCTCGGTCACGCGCCCTCTACGGAAACTGCGCTAACGCTCTGTTCTACCAAAATTATATACGCTTTTTTATTAAATAAAAAAGTAGAAAAATCATATGCAGAACGACATTTAGAACAGACTTATAATATTCATGGAAAAGATATACAATTAATATTTTTAAGACTTAGAAAGTGCACATTGAATAGTAAGCTTAGAGAATTTCAATTTAAAATGCTTTATAATATTATATATACTAAATTACATTTATATAAATTTAAAATGGTTAATAGTAATTTATGTTCTTTTTGTGGAAAATATGAGGAAACTTACGAGCATTTATTTTGTCTTTGTGAGAAAGTAAAACCAATTTGGGAAGAGTGTGGGAATTCATTTAATTTAGTAGAAATTACAAATATAAATTGGAAAGGTATCCATGTAGGGATAGTTGAGTTTAACATAGGGAAGGAACAGTTATTAAATCATATCATAATTTTGATAAAATATATGATATTTATAGATAGTAAAAATAGACAAAAACCACCAACTTATTTGGAGATTAAGAAAAGATTATTAGAAAATAGAAAGGAGGAGAAGAAATTAGCTGGGGACCGAGGTACACTCACATATCATTTTAGAAAGTGGGACAATTTAGAATAGCTTCTTGCAGAATAAATAAAATAAGGAAGGCGAATAGAAGCAATGAAATGGACATGGCTGATATAATGGTCGAGATTCCCACAAAATGTAGGCATGTTTTAAGTGGGTGTTTGTGTGGGTGTCTGTGCACGTGTGTGTATGTGTGTATGTAAGTATTTTTTTTTTTTTTCTTCTTCTTTTTTTCTTCTCTTAAATGTCTTTTTATGTTCATGCCTTCTTCATGCATGCATGTTTCATGCTTTATTTGATGTAAATAGTAAAATTTCATTTGTATTATTTAGATGTGAATTTAAAATCATATTCTATATAATAATATTAACATGCAGATTATTTTATGTATTGATTTTGTTATTGTTTGTGAAAAGCAATGGAGAAAATAAAATATCATTGAAAAAAAAAAAAAAAAAAAAAAAAAAAAAAGGCTTCCAGGAGGCGTCATATTTTTTCTGCGGCACAGATTGGGGCTTTTTTGTTTGTTTAAAGAGGTCTTGATTTAACCCTAACCCTAACCCTAAACTTTCCTATAGGCTCAACACGCACATAACCCCAATCTTTGCCGCAAAAAAAAGTAACGCTTCCAGGAGAGCATTTTCAAATCGGTTCGAACGAACCGGAAGGAAAATCTACCGGAAGCAATTACACCTGCTTTGTGATTCACTGTTTGAATGACTGAAATGTACGAACTGACGAATTACTTAATCTGAACATGGTTTATATAAGAAATATAATGCGCTATTGAAATCTCCCTTCATTGCTTTCTCGAAAGTCTTCACGATCGTATACATGTGCCTGCGCATGAGTTAAAACACTTTGTTTATGTATCATCAAAGTAAAGACAGGCTAATGTTATGCAAATGCAATGTATTTATTGATTAAATATTTACACTAATATGCACTTACATATTATATACATTTAAACTTAAAGGAAAAATCCAACCTTGATAGCAAACTACAGTACTCTAGAAGAAGGCAGACCAATTAAATAAGTACCCTGGTGAAAGTTTGAATGAAATCAGACAAAATATGAGAAAGTTAAGAAATTTTGAAATTTGTAATCACTATATAGGTATGGGCTCTTCAGATTGGAAAATCGGTATTAATGTCTTTATGATGTAGTGGCGGACAACTTACCCTTTTATTCCAACACTAAAAAATGACTAAAATGGCAATTCTCCAAAAATGTATGGCTCAGGAGGGTTTTTTCTCTTTAATTCGAGGATCTACAATAAAACGCTATTCATAGTGCATTGTGAGTAGTGCCTCATGGGAGAAGGCACTTGGAGAAAAATATAAATCAATTATATTTTTGTACACGACAAACGAGAGTTATATGCGACAATGTCACAATCCTCTGACCAATATGCAAATTTGATGTTCGTATAGACTTTTAGTGATATCATATTTAAAACATTCATATATAACTTTTCTATTATTGGTAGTTTCGCCATTCTGTTTATCCATAATTTTGCTTCCATACATATGAACTTATTACAAGGGTTGGATTGTCCTTTAACAATTTTCAATTCATACCTTGAAAAATTGATTTCCTTCATTTAATATGTGGCTGTTATAATTAATTTTTTTCTGATTTATATTACAGTTTTGTCGCGCGTATAGGTTCCTTTCCCGAGTCCGCCACCACGTTCAAACTGTAGCTTACGATGGC